TAATAAAATAAAATAAAATAAAATATTTACAATATAAATAGGGTCATGGTCTTGAATTTAAGTAGTTAAATTGTCATTTTCGTTATTTTCCATCTACAGAGAAAAGAAGAGGTCTCTCTCTCTTGAAGAACACCGCTTTAAACGTGGAAGATCGAAAACCTCGATTCTGCATTTCAATGGATTCAAGTATGCTCACGACAATTTTCTCGATGATTTTACATGTAATTTGAAGGAAAAAAATTATTTTTTCATCTCCATTGAATCCTACGTGACCAAGTTCTCTTGCCGAAAATTCAATGGGAGAGCCATGTTATTTTTTATATGGGGCATAAATTTTTTAATTTAAAATACCTCGACCTTTTTTTATCTAAGCTTGAGACCAATATTAATGGTTTTAAAGAATATTTTGGAGTTATTATTATTATAAGAAAATAAATAATAAAATAAAGGAAACCTATAATTGAAAACACTTGATGTGCATAGTCTCCTTACATGTCACTTATAAAATTTATCTTCAAGTTTTTGTATTTTAAAATCGTTGTACAATAATTTCATTATCAATACCATTAAATATATATTTATATATGTAACATCAAGATTCCCAAATAAGGGATGCTTGTTTGCAATGATAAGAGTTTTCATAAGACTGAGAACGTAAGGCGAACCAAGTTGCTTTGTTGGGAAAATAAGATGCAACAACAATAACAACAACAAATATATTTGAATTAGAGTGAGTCAAACACATTAATGAGAATAGTTTATCCAAAATTTATAACATTTTAAATAACATGTAATTAATAACAAAAAAAATCAAATAAATATTATACGCTCTATTTAAAATTTATCCATACAACAACAACATCAAGCCTTTATCCCACTACGTGCGGTCGGCTACATGAATCCTATTTCTCCAATATGACCTATTAAAAGTCAAATTCTCGTTTAAAATTTATCCATAACTCTATAAATTATCCTCATGAGAATTGAGTTATTCAATAGAGAGAATTAATGGAGCATAATTAAAACAAAAGAAAAAAAATAAAATTATTAAAAAAATCACAATAATTTAATGAGATTTGACCAAATTAACGAATGATTTTGAATATAACAGTACTTATAACTATTGAACAACTATTTAGTCAAAGAATAATATTTCTAATATGGTATAGAACGACGAATCGCAAATTAAAATAAAATAAAATGTTACATATTTTAAACTTTAAATATTACCCATGAAAATAACATATAATTAAATAAATTAAATAAAAGGCGAGCAGCAGATCCCTTCCTCACCGGAGGTAGCGATTTATGTCGTGGCAACGCTAGGGTTTCCCGCCTCTTCTCCCTTTGATCCAGTCGCAGGTAACTGAATCCTCTATTTCGTCGTTCTTGTTGTTTCGTCTCCTTTACAGCGATCTGCGTGGAATTTTTTTGTTTTGAGAAGGATTTGTTTTGTGGATGAACGTTCTGATGCAACAACCTATGTCTTCAGCGGAATTGTTGTTTGAGCATTAGGTGGGGGTCGATGATTTGCTTATATTTCATTAGTTCGTTTTTTTTAGGAGGAATTAGGCCGTCTGAGTTTATCCTGATTGGAACTGTCATTGTCACATACTCTGAAGTGAGTGATCTTGGATGTTCTATTTAAATTATTGAAGAAGGTGAAATCAATGAATTTCAGGGCTATGTTAACCGTGAAAGAAAAGAATCAGATTTTGCCCTAAATTCGAGAGCTTTCCAATTCTATGGTGAAATGTAAAGAACTGGTTAAAAAAACGAAGGCTTTTGGTAGTTCGGTTCTGTAGGTTTGGTAGGGTTTTTTCTTTCTTTGTACATAATTGGTGGTTGCTATTTGATGAGCTTGAGTGATGTATGCATAGATTGAATTGGTAGATAGCAGTATTTTCTGTGCAGATTGGCCTCAAGTATTTGCACGTTTTTCTGGTTATGGTCCCGATGGAGCGTTTTGGATTTGATTTAGCAGATTGGATGTGGGTGCTTGGCTGTTTGGATTGCTTCATAATTGTTTGTTGTGTTGTGGGTGTGGCGAAATTGGTGTTGACTATGAGAAAGAATTCATTGGCTTCTTCTAAAATTTAGGAAACTAGTAAACTCCACTTTGAGCATTATTGGCAGATTAGACGTGTCCTTTAATCTTCTTGGATGCTATTGGATGAATATTGGCTTTACCCTTAGAGATAGGATACGAAATGAGCATATACGTGAAAAGGTTGGAGTACCTCCAGTAGAAGATAAGATTAGAGAGAGTCGCCTTAGATGGTTTGGTCACATAAAACGGCGGCCTTCCAATGACCAGGTTAGGAGAGTAGAGGTATTATATTTGACTTATGTTAAGAAAGGTAGAGGCAGACCTAAAAAGACCTGGTTAGAAAATATTAGGAATGACCTTTCTTTATTAAATTTAAACGAGAATTTGACCTTTAATAGGACATGATGGAGAAAAAGGATTCATGTAGCCGATCCCACGTAGTGGGATAAAGGCTTGATGTTGTTGTTGTTGTATGTATGTCAATTTGTTACTGATGCATGCAAAGGGGGGTCAAAACAAGACGAGAATTTGTTTTGACCCTTGGGCTTCTAGTGTTCTCGGGTGAGCCTTGGTTGCTTGGTATTGAGCTCAAAATGCTGGAATTTTACTTAGTTTTAGCTCATAAATGTTTGAGCTAAAGTTTAGCTCAATGATTGAGGGATTTATTGCACTTCCTATCTCATTAATTTTAAGCTCTTGGTTAGCTCATAATGAGCTTAAGTTTGGCTCATTTATTTAAGTTTAGTGGAAGCTCGTTAAGGTGGATCTTGCCCCTTTTTCGTCCCCATGCTTCCTCTTGGTTTTCCTCCCTTTGTCTTCTCGGTTTCCTGTGCTGGTTGGTTCTCGTGCCTTGGCCCTTTGGTTCCCGTGGATGGCTGCTTGGTTCGCGTGGCTGGCTGGCTGGTTCCCGACGTTCCCGTGCCTTGGCCCTTTGGTTCCCGTGGATGGCTGCTTGTTCATGCGGCTGACTGCTTGGTTCCCGTGGCTTTTCTTCTCTGTTTTGTTGTACCGTATGGGGGCTGCTGTTTGGTGGCTGTTTGGGGTGGAATTCCATGGGATTGTCTCTGTTTTCTGTGCTGTTTTCCTGCAGCAGTTTTGCTGCTTTTTGGCTTTCTATATTTCTTGAATTTAATGGATTTAATGGGAGATATTTGGGCTGTTTGGCTGCCCTCTTTGTGTTTATAAATAGTAGATGTTTTGAGGCTTAAAAAAATGTTAGAATGTGATTTTTGGAATAGAAAAAAAACAAGCGGGTTTGTTGTTTGGAAAAGCTTGCGAGCTTTGTCCAACTTCCCTCCTTTCTTTCTTCTTTGAGAAAGCTTGCGAGCTTGTCTCCATTTCTTCTCGGCTTCTTATCTCTTCTTCTACCAGCAAGAATCTACCCCACTTGTCTCCTTCTCAATCCAAGAAAGCAACTTTAGGTGTATTTTTATGTTCTAGTGTTGTTTGTAAGTCAAAGTTGTAAGCATCCTGTAAGCGTCTCTTATAATACTAAAGTTTGTTTTTGTCATAAATTGTCTAATTTGTCTAGTTTTAGTGAGTTCATGTAATCTTCTGTTATCTTCTAATTTATAGGAAGAGAATTCTTTTGTTAGCAAAAATTTGGGGCCCTCTCCCAAATTTTTACTTGCATCAGTTACTTCATAGTTCAATAAAAAACTAATATGTCATCTTTTAACATATTATTTGGGTATTATATAAAAAATCACTTTTAACATTTATTTGCTCTATACATGATGTAGGCAAGGGGGGTCAAAACAATACTTCCTAGGAAGGGTTTAGTTTTTTCTTGCAAAAATTTTGGAAAAAAAATTTGGGGTTTTTCCCAAATTTTTGCTTGCATCAATACATAATTTTTATTTTGAGGCTCAGACCTCAAAACGCCTTGAGGCTTACGCCTCGTCTCACGAACAAAAAATGCCTCAATACCCAATTGCATAATTTTAAACATTGTATCAAAGAATAATATTAAACCAAGTTTATGAAATCTTATATACTTTTTAACATTAATCCAAATACTAATTATAATTTTTTTACATATTTATGTGTTATATGTACACATACATTGAATAAGATGAGTTGCCCACTCACAAATTATCAGTAATAGCATAGCATAAAATTAACCTAAATATATATATGTATGATCCTTAATTATTTTCTCAAGCTTTCCCTTTATTTTTAGCTCGATAAATTTTCTCTTAATCCTTTACAACATATAATATGAGAACAATATTTACTAAATTAACATTAATCTTTATGGTTACATGCATAACTAATAGAAATAGTAATATAGGGTTACATGCTCTAAACCATCTTCATTTTATTCTCTTAAATAAGATCACATAATTACTAAAAATCAATCTAAGGTTAATGAATGGTTTAATCAAACCTTAGCAACATAAGAAACTCATTTGTGCAACGAGATGAAGCTGTGTTAAGGTTCTTACCTTGTTCAAAGAAGGAAGAAGAAGATAGAATCCCATTTTCAAACCCTTGATCCCCTTCTCCTGCTCTCAACTTCTTGCCTCTAAGTAAGCTGTTAACATTCTCTTTTCTTGATCTCCCTTTGTTCTAATCGGCCTTGAAATGCTCCTCATCCATTTCAATCTCGCATGCTCTTGATTCCCTCTTATCTCTTGATCTCTCGATCAAACTCATTCTCTCACCCTAGGTCTCTTCCTCTCATAGTCCTATTTATTTAGCAAATCCGAATTCAAGATTTATTCTTGCCACCATCTGTCATAAGGTAGTGGGAGCCCCACGTCACACACACACACACACATGCATGTAGGTAGGTAGCTTTTGTACCAAGCTGTAAATTACTTGTATGTTATTTTTTAATATTTTCTTTTACCTTCATTTTTTTAGTATTGTGTTTTCTTCTTCAAGCTTTCAAGTATATGCTATGCTCCACAAAAACTGATCTCTAAGTTCCTTAAAAAATGTACAGGTAATCAAGCATGCAACGCCAACAAGAAGAAGATCCAAAGACCATCCTCCACCAATCTTTGTAGCAGAGCCAACCACGCAATCAAATTCATTTGTAGGAACAGAAGAGTACATAGCACCTGTATGATGTTTCTATTTTTTTTAAGATGACTAATCATTTTCACACACCGCTATTTTTTTTCCAAATTTATTAAATAGTCATCACCAATTATACTCCAACACTTACTCTAGGACTGTAAATGTTTTCTCTTAGGAAATAATCAGCCGAGGTGCGAGTGTGGCAAGCATGCACAAGTTCATGTGCCCTTCTATTTTTGAATGCTCATCACACCCAAATGGAAGGTTGTGCACTGCTATGTCTCTCTTCCAGAAGCCACATGAAAATAATAGTACTAAGAGATCCATCAAAAAACAAACATGCAGAAAACAACACGATGTAATTAGTGGTACACTCATAATACATTAGAAAGGCAGTATGTATTAACTTTAATAAGAACTAGGATATGCATGACTATCATTACCAATTTCATAATCTTCACCAAGAATAAAATTCTTAGACTAAACGTCCCACACGGAATTTTTTTAGATCAAGAGCAAATTTCACTAAATCGCACAGATAGTTTCATTCTGCTAGGTCATTATGATGCAGTTGGCAGCAACAATCCAGCTATTCATGTGAGGAGGCCCATGATCTCCTTTATCATCTATGGGAGAAGATCAGAAGATGCTCTGGGAGGAAACTCTTTGGGAAAGGGGGACTCTTTGAGAAAGATGTAAGGGGCATTTATTAGGGGATTTGAGCTGTTTAGAGGGGGAGATTTAGGGTTTTTTATGTTATGTTTTAAAATTTCTGAATTACTTTTTGTGAGTTGTTTGAGTTCCTAGTAGCTTCTAGGAATTGTGGGAGAGACGATTCACCTCTCCAAAAGTGAATCAACTTGTATCTTGTCTTGCTTTGCTTGGAAATTAGTTAAAACAATTCTTTGTGTTATTTCTGGATATATTTGGAGTAAGTTGCTGTTTTTATATTGTTGTGTGATGTTTTGAACATCAAGTCCTATCAAATTGGTATAAAAAAAACTAGGAGAGCTTGGTCGATTCAAATTTGAAGTTGATGAAAGGATTTCATCCATGGAAAGAAGGTTTTCTAACCAAGAAGATATGATGAAGAAAATATTGGAGCTTCATACCCAACCGGCAACATCAGAGGCGAGGGGACCGGAGGGTGGCCAAGGAAGTGGGGCCCCAATATCAGCACAATGAGGAATGATCGAGAGGTAGAAATCTTGGGCAATAGGGAAAATATGCAACCTCTTGAACCGATAACCAGAAGGGACATGAGAAGAAATTGGGAGGAAGAAACAAGGAAAGATGATTTTGAGGAAAATGATATCTATGAAAGGAGGAGAGGTGGGAAAGAACAATGGAGAGATCACAACAATCGCTATATAGGAGGAGTCGGAGGTGGAAGAGGAAGTTGGATCAGAGGGGATCCGAGATTGAGAAAACTGAATATGCTCGTTTTTTAAGGGGAAGATGCTCATGGGTGGTTCTATATAGTGGAGAGATACTTTGCAGTGAATGGGCTGACGGAGGAAGAGAGACCCACGGTGTCGGCTTTATGCTTTGGAGGGGAAGGCCTTGTCTTGGTGACAGTGGAGAGACATGAGAGAACCAATTCGGTCGTGGGGGAAGTTCAAAGATAATTTATTAGAACGTTTCCAAACCAGTTGGGAAGGAGACTTTTACAAGCAGTTCTTTACTCTTGTTCAGGAAGGGATAGTGATGGATTATCGGGAGAGGGTTGAGTACCTTTCTAGCTGATTGGGGAGGCTTTCTGAGATAGTGTTGGAGGGGAATTTCATGAAGAGACTCAAGCTAGAGATCAGGGCTACTATATGGTTATTGAGGCCACGAGGGTTGGGGGAGACTATGGAGCTAGCCCAATTGGTGGAGGACAAAAACTCACTTGAGAGAAGCAGCAAGGAAAACAATTTAGGAGCTTCATACCAGACGATGACTAATTTTTCGGCACCAAAGGTACAACCTGTGCCCATTCAGAGAGAAGTACTCGAGGATAGGGGATTGAAAACGCGACCAGGGGGGAATATCAAGCGGTTGACTGAGGCAGAAGTTCAAGAGAAGTGGGCTAGGGGATTGTGTTTCCGTTGTGATGAGAAATTTGCGTCGAACCACCGCTGCAAGGATTGTTCGCTATAGGTACTTACAGTCTGTGATGAGGAGGAGACTCTTGAGGAGGAGGTGGTTGAGGAGGAGGAGCATTTGCACCTAGATGTGGCGGAGGTCTCCCTAAACTCAGTGATGGGGTTTACCTCAAATCACACCATGAAGGTAAGGGGATAGATATGAGAAGAATCAGTGATAATTTTGGTGAATAGTGGGGCTACCCACAACTTCATCTCCAATCAGGTGGTGGACCAATTGAGGATGAAGCTAGTTGACAAGGGTTGTTTTGGGGTGATTATGGGAATGGGGAAGATGGAGAAGAGTAAAGGCATCTACCTAGGATTTATGGTGACACTACAGGAGATCTAGGTGAAGGAGGATTTTCTTCCCATAGAGTTAGGGAGCACATATGTAATTTTGGAAGTGATTACAGACATTGGGGGAAATTAAGGTGGTGGAAAGCATTGACTATGGAATTCATGGTGAGAGAGAGGAAGGTGAGAATCAGAGGGGATCTTAGTTTATCCAAAAAGCTTTCTCTCAAGACCATGGTGAGGGCAATCCAGAGAGAAGGGATGGAATTCTTGGAGGAACTCCAGAGCCTCGAGGGAAGAGGAAGTATGGGGAAAGAGGAGGTTTCAGAGATAGTCCAACCACTCCTACAACAATTCAACGAGGTGTTCCAACTGCGTCAAGGCCTTACCCCAAGGGAGCATGAACATGCCATCATGCTGAAGGAGGGGGTATTCCCTATCAGTGTTCGACCCTATCGGTACTCAAATGTTCATAAAGATAAAATTGAGAGACTGATCAAGGAGATGTTGGAGGACCAGATCATTCGGCCAATGTTAGTCCCTTCTCTAGTCAGGTATTGTTGGAGAAGAAGAAGGATGGTAGTTGGAGATTTTGTGTAGATTACCAAGCTCTGAATAAGGAAACAATATTGGATAAGTTTCCTATACCTGTCATTGATGGGTTGTTGGATGAGTTATATGGAGCGAAGATGTTCTCCAAGATTAATTTGAAATCGGGATATCATCATATTAGAATGTGACCCAATGACATCCAAAAGATTGCTTTTATGACTCATAAAGGCCACTACGAGTTCTTAGTGATGCCTTTTGGGCTTACCAACGCCCTAACTACCTTCCAGTTGTTTATGAACAAGGTATTTCAGCCCTACCTCCTCAACTTTGTATTGATTTTCTTCGATGATATTTTAATGTATAATCGGTCTGAGGCAAAGCATGTGAAACACTTAGGTAGTGTTAGTAACATTGAAGGAGCATCAACTATATGCCAATTTGAAGAAGAGTTCCTTTGCACAGCAGAGAGTGGAGTATTTGGGACATGTGGTGTTCAAATCAAGAGTAGCTTAGAGACTATGTTGGAGTAGCCCTTACCCAAAACTCTGAAGGAGTTGAGAGGGTTCTTAGGACTCACAAGTACTACAAGAAATTTGTGAGGTGATACAGTTCTATACCATGGTCGTTGACAGAGCAACTGAATAAGGATAGTTTCAAACGGGGGGGTGGCAGCCACTCGAGCATTCGAGCAGCTGAAGAAAGCCATGAAGAGTGTCCCTGTGTTTGCACTACCAAATTTTAGCCAGCCATTTTTCGTAGAGATTGATGCATCAAGTTATGGGTTAGGAGCAGTTCTTATGCAGAGTTAGAGACAGCTTATTTCAGCCGGGTTTGATCGCTAGGGCCTGGCTGAAATCAGTGTATGAAAGGGAGCTAATGGCGATAGTGTTAGCAATACAAAAGTGGCGACCTTATATGTTGGGACGACACTTCATAGTAAGGAACGACCAGAGAAGTTTGAAGTTCATGTTAGAGCAGAGGATGGCATCAGTGGTAGCTTTCAAAGTTGGGTTATGACTTTGACATCCAGTACAAGTCCGGGTTAGAAAATAAAGCAGCATATGCTCTCTCCAGGCGTAGTGAAGACACTCAAGTTATGACTCTATCTATTCCCATGATGGTGGATTGGGAGGCCTTGAAGCATGAGTGCGAGCAGGATGAGGACTTGAGTAAGATCAAAGGAGACTTGTTGCATGACAAGGATAGCCAACCTGATTATTCTTTGATGAGCTAGAAGTTGTTATACCAAGGATGATTTGTGCTTTCCAGGAAATCGCCACACATCCCTCATTGTTGCAGGAGTTTCATGGCACATCTATTGGGGGACATTCAAGAGTTCATAAGACATATCATAGACTTGCAGCGGAGCGATACTGGGTGGCATGCAGAAGGATGTAGAGGAGTTGGTGTCCAGTTGTGATGTGTGTCAAAGACATAAATACCTAACTATGGCTCTAGATGGTCTTCTACAACTATTAGCATTACCCGAGAAGGTGTGAGAAGATATGACTATGGACTTCATTGAGCGACTACCTAGATCAGACGGGTTAATTGTGATTCTAGTGGTGGTGGACATATTGAGCAAATATGCTCATTTAGTTCCCTTAGGCCACCGTTACACCGCGATGTCGGTGGCAGCATTAATTAGAGAGGTGGTTTGTTTGCATGACATACCTAAGTCAATTATGTCTGATCGGGATAATGTCTTTTTGAGCCACTTCTGGATGTAGTTATTCAAGATTCAAGGGACTATCCTGAAGAGGAGTACAGCTTACCAACCCCAAACGGATGGTAAGACGGAGGTGGTGAATCGCAGTGCGAAAACTTCTCTTCGTTGCTTTGTATCAGATACACCAAAGATGTGGGCCAAATGGTCAGCCTGGGCAGCATATTGGTATAATACTTCATATCATATAGCAGCCCAGACAACGCCATTTGAAATTCTATATGGGAAGGATCCACCTCATATGATATATTGTGGGCATCATAACACACCAGTGTCATCAGTGGAGCAATACTTGGGAGAAAGAGACCGTATTTTGGCATAATTGAAGGAACATCTACAAAGAGCACAATAAATCATGAAGAAATAAGAGGTTGGGCATATGACAGATCTGCAGTTTAAGATTGGGGACATGGTTTATTTGAAGATCCGACCTTCATCACCTACGGTTGCCACCGACCTCAGCCATCCATCTCATATTTCATGTATCGCAACTGAGACGAGCCACTGAAAACCACACACCCTCGCTCGCACTACCGGTCACATTCTCAAAGGATATGGAGGTG